CCTTGCAGCCCTTACACATACAAACACAGATTCACACAATGCATTTCTTACACACATCAGGACATCCCCCCCCACACACACACCCCTGTGAACAAACTCATTGGTGGAACATGAAGGTGGACCCTGGGACCCAGACCTTGAGCTGTGTAAAGGACCCCCAAAAAATGGAGCTGCTTCCCGTTCTCCCAGAACATTGATTTTTTGTGACCACAGTTACAAACCGCCTCCAGAGAGCCTGTTCTGCACCAGACCAGTGGAGCCAGACTGCAGCTAGAGCCCATCATCATCCTCATCTGGTTGTAAGTAGGCAATCTAGTATATTATTCGTGGCACTAATCTCTAATTTACCTCACATTAAAAGAAACACTATAGTCCCCAGAACCACAGCAGCAATGTAGTGGTCCTGAGGTGTCTAGCCTATCCTACAGGCCTTTTTAATGTAAACACGGCACTGCAGCACTAGGCGTTAGTTAACATGGCAGGGCATATGGGTGGGGCATTGTGATGTCGCGAGTGACAAACTTTACTTTTGCCTAGGGCGGCAAAAATCCTTGCACCGGCCCTGCACACAATGCACCCCTTGCACACAGAAAAACACACAATGCATTACACACACAGACACACATACACAAGCAATGCAACCCTTACACACAATGCATCCCTTACACAAACAGAAACACACAATGCATTCATTACACACACTCAATGCACCCCTTACACACACTCAATGCATCCCTTACAGACGCACACACTGCATCCCTTACATACACAGAAACACACCTTTCAGCCCTTACACATACAAACACAGATTCACACAATGCATTCCTTACACACATATCAGGACATCCCCTACACACTCCACCCCCTGTGAACAAACTCATTGGTGGAACATGAAGGTGGACCCTAGGACCCAGACCTTGAGCTGTGTAAAGGGCCCCCAAAAACATGGAGTTGCTTCCCATTCTCCAAAAACATAGATTTTTGTGACCACAGTTACAAACCGCCTCTAGAGAGCCTGTTCTACACCAGACCAGTGGAGCCAGACTGCAGCTAGAGCCCATCATCATCCTCATCTGGTTGTAAGTAGGCAATCTAGTATATTATTCGTGGCACTAAGCTCTAATTTACCTCACATTAAAGAAACACTATAGTCCCAGAACCACTTCAGCTTAATGTAGTGGTTCTGGTGTCTATAGCCTGTCCCTGCAGGCCTTTTAATGTAAACACGGCGGCACTGCAGCACTGGCGTTAGTTAACATGGCAGATCATATGGGTGGGGCATTGTGATTTCACATGGGGGGTGGCAAACTTTACTTTTGCCTAGGGCGGCAAAAATCCTTGCACCGGCCCTGCATGCAGACACACAGATACAAACACAGACACAGAAACAAACACTGACACACATGCACAGACACACTGGTATTATTATTATTATTATTATTATTATTATTATTATTGCCAACATATTCCGTAGCGCTTTACAATATTATGAATGGGGGGATTTAACTGTAAGTAAGACAATTACAAGAAAACTTAAATGAACAATAGGTTGAAGAGGACCCTGCTCAAACAGGCTTACAGTCTATAGGAGGTGGATTGTAAAACACATTAGGACAGGAAATAGCAATCAAATAAGAGCTGGAAAAGAGAGTGTTGCCCTTTAGGAGAGAGCAAGAGACAGTTATGTAAGGTAGATGTTACTCTGGGAAGCCATACGCTTTCCTAGAGATGGGTTTTAAGGCACTACTTAAATGAAGACTAGGGGAGAGTCTGATGGTGGCAGGCATGCCATTCCACAGGAAGGTAGGCACCCGTGAGAAGTCCTACAAGTTGGACGTACGTGTGCAAGCAGCAGACAGGAGAAGGTCACTGGCAGAGCGGAGAGACCGAGAAGGGGCATACCTATGGATATGTGAAGAGATATAAGAGGGGCTAGAATGGTACAGTGCTTTATAGTTATGGGTTAGCACTTTGAATTGACTCCTATAAGATACAGGAAGCCAATATAAGGACTGACAGAGGAGTGAGGTGGGAGAGGACCGACTAGAGAGGAAAATCAGTCTGGCGGCAGCATTCATTACAGACTGTAGTGGGGCAATACAGCTTTTGGGAAGACCAATTAGGAGAGTGTTACAATGATCCATGGGGGAAATTACTAGAGCATGGGCAAGCTCCTTGGTAGCATCTTGCGTAAGAAAGAGGCGGATAAGGGCTATGTTTTTAAGATTGAATCTACATAATATCTAGATATCTACATGATATGTACTTGATGTGAGGCTCAAAGGTGAGGCCAGAATCAAGTATGACACCAAGACAGCACGCTTGCAAGGATGGACTTATGTGGATACCACAAACTGACACAACTCCAACCAAAAATGTCCAAAGATGCAGCAATTGCTCCAAATGTGTAGATTGCCCAATAGAATGCTTCTCACAGTGAAGAATTAGACGAATCCATGTATGGAAGCTCTCACTTCTCCTTGAACAATTGTTCAAGCAGAGTCACGCAAGAAACCCTTCTGGTTGTCAGCTTGATGACTGGGAGGAGGCATTTCTAAACCCATTTATGAAAAAAGTGCAGATTTCTTTTGAAATAGACACTTTTATAAATTGGGACAAGGGGAACCTCCTCTTAACCCCTAAATATCTTTAGCAAGTTGAAGGGTTTGTTAGGGGTTTTGATTGTCCCTTTAAGTCTCTATTTGACCATGGGGTTAATTCATAAACATTCCAGATTAATCTATATGAGAGAAAAAAAAATATTATAGACTTTATTTTCTATAAACATACTCTTTAAATAAAATATCATATCCCCTTCTTAAGAAAAATTATTTAAAGGAAAAAAAAAAAAATCGATGCAGTGAATGGTCAAAAATAGGATGTGCCAATAATGTCTCTCAGTACCGTTAAATTAATCACCCTGCATCTAATAGCGACAACGCCATGTTTCTGTAAGAGATCTTTCAGTACAAGGAAAGATGCTATCTAACTATCTGTATTTTATCTATCCCTTTTATTGAGTAGACAGTGGTTACTTTGCATATGTTCACAGGAAACGCAAGAAATATACAGGGAGATAAATGACAAATGAGAGCAGCCCAGGTTAGATTTGATCCACAATTCATAACATGGAAAGATAAGAGGATACTATTCCCTAAGCTGAACATGAAACCTATTTTCCTTGTGCATGGTATGTAAACATGTCTGAATGGGCTTTATACATGCGAAGGAAAAGAGGAAAACATATTTTCAAAGCCAAAATGAAAATGGCTCAATATATAACCTATATGAAACCATGCTGCTGTGATTATTTAAAAAAAAAATGAATAATATAAATGAACACAAAAACTATCACTATGCCAACGTACCATTACATTACGAAAAATATTTTGTGAATATTTCTAAAATATTCTAACAAATGTGCTTGATTAGTATATTAATATTGCTGTTAAAATGCAAAAAAATGGTTTATGTTTTATATGGAGTTATTTAGAGTCACTTTATGCACAATCCAATTTTTACTCATTTTATACTGAAATGTGATTTGTCACAACATTCATACACCTGATATAAGTCAGTGTATATCATTATTACTAAAATGTTAATGTTACCTATCATATAATGGCAATTTGTTTGCAATTCTTTACAATTTCCCAGCAGGTCTATAGAACAAGTAATTGACAGACAAAAATAAACTTGACACATACAAGAGGTGAAAGGGCCCTGCTCAAACAGCTTACAATCTGTGAGTTTATGGTTTAAATAACAGACAGCTATTAACTTACTGAGTCATTTCACTTTATTTTTATGAATGAAACTATTCAGAAGTACATAACTTATATATGTTTGCCGCAAATGGCTTTATGGTATATGCATCACACTTGTGTGAAAATAGGAGGACCAGGATTGTCTGAAACCTCCTGGTATAGTGGGTTATCTCCAGTTTATATGTTAAATGTGGCACAGCTGACCTAATAAACACTCACCCCGTAGTATTTCAAGGGATGTTCCAAACTTGTGATAACACCCCTCTTTAATGTTATGCCAATACATAACCAAATGAAAAATTAAATTTAAAAAAAAAAATCACAAAAGAAAAGTCACTTTTTTTCTGCAAATCTTCTACAAACCAGAAAGTGATTGTGTTTCATCAGCCAATCCTGGTCCTCATTGTTTTCCAAAGCTTTGCAGGAAGACTTTGCATGTTATGAAGTTCAGCTTGTCACAAATCGTTTCATTCGAAAAAAAAAAAAAAAATTAAATTACTAAATCAATTAACTACACATTGACATTTTAACTGGTGCATTCCACCAGACCAAACATTGTGTTACAGCAATATAATAAAACATTTATATATTGGGGGCGGGGCCCGGCTGCCGAGCTAACTGGTCGCACCAAGAGAGAGCTCAGTGTGAGAATCTAATAAAACTCTCACAAATCGACTTTTAATAACTCACCACAGAAGATTTGAATGCCAGAGAGGGTCGGTGAACACCGGAGCTACACCCGGCAGAGTTCCTGCACGCAGCCAAGCAACAGTAACACAAAGACAACCTTCGGCCTACCAGCGGTGGCGAGCATGAGAGAATCGGACACGCTAGCTATCGGACATGCTGCGGTGGCTGGGAACCCCAAATCCCCCCCACCCCCCCAGTCGGTGGGGGTTATCCCGGCGCAAACAGACAGGCTATGCCCCCAAGCTATAAGAAATACCAACCAACTCACCCACACCTGAGGCCTGCGCTCAGCGCTGAATCTGAGGCCAAAATGGCAGCTGCCACACCAGACACCTCAGCACGAGGCTCACAGGGGACGCTCGAGGAACGGCTAGATGCCTTATTCAGTGCATTCTGGAGGAAGCTGCAAGAAAGAGAGGAGCAGGCTAAGACCAAGACTCTAGACCCTCCTTCCCTCCTGGCAGGCAAGCGGTGGAAAACATCCACTGCCCACACATCGGAGCAGCCAAAGAGACGGACCAAACGGATACCCACCCACGTCCCACTATGTCCGGAGCTTGCCACAGTCTTCCTGAGCGAAGGGCCCAGACGGGGAAGACCCTGGTGCTCAACCCACACAACCGAAAGGCAAAACCTCGACCCCAAGCGGCAACCACACTCTCCCGAGACCAAGCTTGCGGTGGCAAGGCAGACCGGAGCAGAGGGACCTGCACCTGGGCCCTTGTACCGAATCAGGGCCAGTTGGGCGAACAGCCCTGGACCCACGGGACATTCCATACAGACATGACTCTGGTAGCCTGCAAGGGCATTGGGTGAATAGCAGCCAGGTCAAGGAAGGGGGGATATGCAAAAGCAATGGCTCCTTCTGTCCGCTTGTTTCACACGTCCCTCACAGCCTCAGATCGATAGCAGTGGTCCCAATCATCTGTGGAAAATGATCGTCCCCTGGTATTGACCCTGTCATTTTAGTTAAACATGTTTTTCTTGGATTACCAGCTACTCTATATTACGAGTCAGGGCATATTACAATCGATAACACACTTACTATGCTCAACACAGCGCTGCTACACTACTACCTACTAAGTGACGCCTGTATCATTTAAGTATACTATGTTTCTAGCTGTTTTTTAAGTTGATCTAGCATGTTGTCTGGCAATTTGGTTATATATAAACGTGCAGAGATGTACCTTGTCTGTTTTCCCCTCATAACTTACCAACCTCTGCTCCATACAATGTCTATAATACTAATACTAAAAATGTGCAGTTTCTTCTGAATGCCATGTTAATATGTCATACCATCTGTTACCACGATGCTTGTTTTTGTTGTCGTGGCATCACAAGCTTATCTGTTATCATATGCGCACCCAAAATAAAGAATTAAAATATTAAATAAAACATTTATATATTTATATATTTTTTTATTATTAATCAACATTTAATCCATGTATGCTCGAACAGCATACACACACCTACAGGTGAAATGTGTGCCAATGGGCACAAGGATGATGCTAAGAGAGTCAGGGATTCCCCAGGCTGTCCCTTTAAAATCTCCTAGCTCAAGGCAACTCTGCTAGCCACGTGGGTTTGTCTCCATGTATCTTCTCCCCCCTGTGCTGCTGGATGTCTGCTCTATCTGGCTGGGCTCCAGCCTCTGATCGCTGGCTCCCTCGCCCTGCCTCCTCCTATTTTTTCCACCCACGGGTAAAGGTGTTTTTTTTTTCCTACAATCCCACTTTATTAATCCGTGGGCTGGCCTTGTATCACATGCCCTACTCACACCAACACAAGACCTCCTTTACCCCCAGTCACACACGTGTGGGCATATAGCAATACTTATACGTTGAACTAAGCTCTGCTAACACTATTGCTGGAACCAGTGTAGGGAAGGAAGGGTTTCACTGTTACCTCCAGTGCCTAGTTTGTCCTTAATCTGGTCAGATCACACATTGTTCAGGTTGGAGCAGGGAAGGGGGGGTGGCCTCTTGCTTATGGCACGCTCTCACACTGAGCGCCGGGTAGTCACGTGACACCCGGTGCTCCTACACAGAATGGGAGGAGGAGCTCCCCCTCCTAGTGTGTGTGTATTGTTTGTGCGGTTCCCTTATGGAGCAGACCGCTTCACCGGGGTGCCGGGGGCGCAGGCCAAGTGGGGGGCACAAAAATCCCCTGTTACACTGACACTTGATTTTTGTGCCCCCCCCTCGACATGCGCCCCTGGCAGGTGCCGTTTTCGCCAACCCCGTGGTACGCCCCTGAGTGTTTTCCACAAATTCAACTGAAAATGCAATTTATATGACTTCTCCAGTC